TTTTTGAGGGTAAACCATTAGTCCAGCCCAACGTAGCCCAGCTAGCACCTCCCTCAGTCGAAGTAAATGTCCCTCCCGGCTCTCAGAGTGGTAGGCGGCTGCATAGGCCTGGTGTCATCGAAGCACTCGGTCCATCAGCCTTTGGAAGGTCGCTGGTGCCCCATGCAGGCCGAAAGCTACGACCCAGGAATGCCAGTGCCCTGGCGGAGTATTGAAGGCGGTCTTCTCTTTTGTCGAAGTGGAGAGGGTTACTTGCCAGTAACCTATTGCCAAGTCCATCGTGGAGATATACCGGGGCCTACCAAGGCGTTCAATGAGTTCATCCACCAGGGTCATGGGGTAGCTGTCAAACTCCGACACTTCATTAAGCTTTCGAAAGTCATTGCAGAAGCAGAGGGTGTCGTCAGGGGACTAGCACAACCCGGCTGGACCACGGGCTGGAGGAAGGCTTATTGACTCCTAAGTGGATCATTATTTCCACTTCCTCAATGGCTTGCCGCCGATATTGGAATCTGGTAGGGCCGCTGCCGAACTGTGATACCATATGAGGGATGTCATGTGACAGGAGGAAGTCCGTCCTGGACAGTTGGAGAATACATTACAAAAGCTTCGAATAAGCGCTTCCAGTTCTTTCTTTTGGTGTGGGCTGTGGATTCAGGTGTAACACAGGTCAAGGCCACCGCAAGCTGTTCTGGGACCCAGGTTGACGTGGTAGATCTGCTCACCCCTTCATCTCCCAGGCTGATGCAGCCTATAATTTACAGGTCCGACTCCCTCAACTCTTTGGCAGTACGAGCAGTTCCTTTAGTTCCCCCCGCCTTTCTGCTACACAGTATAAGAAGTAATTCTTTACAATGAGGTGTGGAGAGGGGTGTGGGGGTGGCTGCTTTTTGGTGCCATTGACTACCCTGACTTGTGACTAGCAGTGTTTCAAGAAATCATCAACTCAAGGTTCTCTTCCTAGGGACCTGCTCCCTGTGATCTGTTGGAAAAGATTCGAGAAAACTTCAAGATTAGGTTGAGAACCTGTCGCACAGGCTTTTTCATGACATCGTAGAAGTTGCTTCAAGTAGCGAAGCAGTCTATCCAAAGTGACCTTCTCTACGATCTCAGTCATGGTGACATAATCTTTCAACGACCATAGCTTAATGAGTGTGGGTCATTTGGGTCGCTTGCATGCGGATGGGTACCTGCGCATCATAGACAGGGGAGAGTCCTATATCTTTCTTCATAAAATCATCATCCAGGTACTGTAGGTTGGAGTGAAGGAGAAATAAACTTGTTGGGGTTCCCCGGTTAGAAGGGGTGTTAACTTCTGAAACCATTCCGACTTTTCCCAGCTAACTTTACTTGCGACCACCTCAAATGTGTGTAAAAAAACTTCCGGGTCATCCTGCTCATCCTGGTGTAGTCTGACTCTGAACGAAGATGCACCAGTTCCTCAGCCACATGATTTTGTGCCACTACATTAAACACTCCGCGAAAAGAAGGGAAATTAGCCAATTAGCTGTGTGATCCGCACTCACTTGTGCAAATCAATCACTCTCTGGGATCGCTAGATGTTCCCCATGATTAGTGTTGCCGGGGATGACGAGTGGGGAGCCAGTAATATCGCGTCACTTTTTACTGTATATATATATATATATATATATTAGTTACAAACCCAAATCAACCCGAATCAGAAGCTATTCATTAAACATTTTTTAATGTTTATTGAATTTTCTGAGTTTTTCAGGACCCATCGGACTCGGGTCGGGTAGCAGACCTATACCACACACACTTGTTATTATCCTCCAAATCTTTCGGATTCTTACATTAGCTCTCTATCTGAAATGCTGGTTGATTGCTGAAAATCTTGCCATCCACCACAGCTCTCTAACTGAACTCATATTCAAGCTTTAAATGCTCAATACAAGTTTGGTAGAACATGAAGGTAAAATGATGACATAATTAACTTAATCAAATCCCTGAAGTCTGATTGTTGATTTTATCCCAGTGTGACGATCCTCAACCTCTTTATAAAACTGAGTTTAAAAGAAAGAGAGCTAAATAAAGAAACAGGCATTTTGTTGTAAAACAAATGGGATAGATTTAGAGAGAACACACACACTCCTGTCTTCAGCTGGAACCCTGACACCTCCTCACAGCGTACACACACACACACACACACACACTCCTGTCTTCAGCTGGAACCCTGACATCTCCTCACAAAGTGTCCGTCTCAGCCAGTATAATTCCTGCGGTGCTTTATCAGTTCCAGCGGCTCCAGTGATGATGATCTTCTGATACGGTAGAACTGACTCCAGTGTCGTTGTGTTCTTTCGGTTGTCAGTTCTCACATGTGCAGGCTTGTCTTGTCACTCATTGCTTTAGGAAAACTTTTGTTTCAAATGTCTCAAAAGCAGCTCATTACACTCACTATGCACTGTGTACTCTGCTGTCTAGTGCATGAACTTTTATAAGGTTTTGTCATTTATAATAGACCATCTTCTTCCTCTTCATAAGGAAAGCTGCGACATTTGAGTGCGTGAAGAGCTTCCAATCACGAGGCTTTGTCAGAAGAAATGTGCTATTACTGTTTGTGTTTTGTTTAATCTGATGGGCAGAAAATGTAATGAAATTAAATATTGAATATAGCGCAAGAAGCGGCATTAGATGACATTTTAAGAGAATTTTGGGCAAATGGCTAAAAAATCATATATAAAGTAACTTTTAAGATGATTTAATGGATTATCACTTTCAACCAATAGATGGCGCAGTTATGAAATCGATGTGATGTGGTCAGAGTGTGGTGACAATGACTACGTTTACATGCAGCCAATTTTGGGGTTATGGTCGGGTTAAGGTCACTATTGGGGTTTCTGAAACAGAACACAAATCACGATGGGGATATGCCGATACGCATTTACATGACCAAAAATTCGGGTTAGAAAAGGGGTACCCCAGGTATAATATCCCGTTTTTTAAAATCCGGGATATGAGCATTGTTCAGGTTTTTGCCGGTGTTTACATGGCCGTTCGCGACCGGGTTATATCCCGGTTTTGAACAGGTTATTGGCTGCATGTAAACGCAGTCATAGACACATACAAAGTTTGGTGCCCAGCAGTGTTGCAGCAACGGACTGTTCGGATCAAAAATCGCTGAGTCGTTAAAAGATTGATGTAATGTTCATTATTTTAACTTTTGAAGGGTTCGAAACTTTCCGGCCCAGAAAAGTTATTAAAGACATCGTTAAAATAGTCCGAGTGACTACAGCGGCTCAATCTTAAGTTTATAAAGTGACGAGAACACTTTTTGTGCGCAAAAAAACAAACAAAAATGAAGATTTTATTCAACAATCTCTACTCTTCCATGTCATTCTCCCATGCTGTTGAAGTGTAACAGCGCAGGGCTTCTGGGTTCTGCGTCAGAACGCAGGCTCACTATTGGCCGACGCTGGTCATGTGTGTGATGCTGGCCAATAGTTGCAAACGTATTTCAAACAACAAATATCTCCCCCTGAGTATATCGGGCCTTCAAGATGAACAAACAATGATAAATACTTTTTTTTTTCAATGTATTTCTTAATGCATTATTAAAATGAAAAGTTTCATCTGTTCATTTTATTTAATGGATCTGAGCTGTTGTGTTTTTTAACCTTAACAAATATTAATAAATACTGTAAAAAAACTATTGCTCAATGTTAATCTTTGTCAATTAAGTAATGGAACCTTATTGTAAAGTGTTACCTAACAACCACATAACCCATCCCATAACACCTTAGCAACAACATAACCCATCCCATAACACCTTAGCAACAACATAACCCATCCCATAACACCTTAGCAACCAAATAACCCATCCCATAACACCTTAGCAACCAAATAACCCATCCCATAACACCTTAGCAACCAAATAACCCATGCCATGACACCTTAGCAACATCACAGTGCTATGTTTGCACTCTTGAGGAAATGTAATAATCTAATGATCCTCATCCAGACAGTCCCACAGAAATATGTGTTGCCTAGGACTGTGAACAACATCGAGATCTCTGAAGAGAGAGTGTGATTCAGTGTGCCAAAACACACACACACACACAGTCCTGTCATGTATCTTTTATTACTCGGGCTGGTGTAATCCGCTAATTTCCTCCCTTGGAGACTGGAATCTGATTTCTCAGTGAATGGCCCCTGTCTCCTGCCGTGAATCGAGGGCTGGTCCCTGTCATCAGCGTAACGAGGCTCATTACCTGCCATTAGATCTCATCAAGAGACAGTCGAGACGCATTCACCTCTCTGTCAACACTGACCATCTCTGAGTCTTTATCTGCCCGACGACACACGGGTGGAGGAGCTGCAGGCCAGACTTACAGACGCTCACACACACACACACTAACCCGACCCCTAAACCTAACCATCTCACACAACGGTTTTTTCCTCGTTCTGTATGAATTATAAGCTTGTTTCCTCAGTTCAGGCCACAGTGACACGAGTCCCCGTGAGTGTGTGTGTTCAGGTTTAAGTCCCCCTCGGGATAGACAAACATGTACACACACATCTTTGTTCACAGGGAGTAACTTTCCATTCATGAGGCGTGTGGCAAACCCTGCTTCACAACCCATGCAGAAAACATGTACTCACTTAAAACTCCACTTCCAAGTTTATGGCTTGTTTGCATGTAGATGCGTTTAAGATGTGGCGAGAGCAATGCTGGAGTGTGTGTGGCTCAGGGAATAAAAACACCAGAGCAAGGCAAACAAAGGATCAGAAACTATTACGAATAAATAAGACAGTATGCTAAGGTCAATACAAAAATGTTTTGTTCCTTTGTAATCTAGAAGTTATTTAGAGAGGCAAAAATATAAGTGTTAAAATCATAAACTTCAGGATGTAATCCTCATTTTTAACCCCATTTTCTCCAGCAGTTCAGAATTTAGTTTTCTCCAGCATGACCTTTTGAACCGATGACTGATTTTATTTAAACTGATGAATGATCTTTTATGAATTGTGATCGTCAGGGCTGGGAGGAGAGTGTGGACGCAGCCGTCTCTCACCTGTTGAAGACGTGTCTGTCCCGCAGTGCTAAAGACCAGGCCCTGAGCCTGAGCACCGGCCCGCTCACGCTCCCGAAGGACACGGCCCGGCTCAAGAAGCACCTCACGCTGCTGTGTGACCGGCTGGGCAAGGGTGGCCGTCTCTCGCTCTCCTCAGAGGCCAACGCTCCTGCAGCACTCATGATGCCAGGTCAGACACACACACACAAGACATGAGTACTGACTTCAGAACACAAACACATCCCTCTCAAGACATATTTATTAAAAATAAGAAGGTGGAATGTGTGGAAAGCTGTAAATATCTGGGGACAATTATTGATAAAAGATTGTGCTTTGATTTGAACACAGAGGCTCTATGTAAAAAGGGACAGCAGTCTCAGAAAACTCAGATCTTTTAACATAGACAAGATACTGATGGAATTGTTTTACAAATCTTATATAGAGCCAGTGTTGTCCTTCTCTATTAGCTGCTGGTTTGGAAATCTCAGTGTGAAATACAAAAACTCACTAAGTAAATTAGTCAAAAACAGTGGGAAGATCATAGGTAAAGAGCAAAGAGGATTGTCAGGTCTGTTTAACAGAGACGTTTTGAGTCGAGCCCATTCTGTGATTTCAGACAGAGAACACTTCTTATATCCAGAGATCTCCATGCTGCCTTCGGGTCGACGTTACAGATTACCCAAAACTAAAAACAATAGATACAAATTCTCTTTAGTTCCGAGTGCAATTAGACTTCTAAATAATTCTTAAAGGTATTTATTAAGGTTTTTTACATATCTTTTATTCTTTGTTTTTTTTAAATAATAATATATTTATGCTTATTGCTATTATTACTGTTATGATGTACTGTATGTGTCAGTTTGTGTCTGTCTATCTGTGCTGCATCCAAATTGCCCAAAAGGGATCTTAATAAAGAATTAAAACGACTCTATATGGGGCAGATGAGCTGTTCCACTGGGTCCTAAAGCCAGTTCACTTCATTATGCATTCAAATACACATATAGACATTATAAAATAATGTTTTGGCAAAGTTTTAGCATTTTTAGGTTTATCTATGTGTACTGAAGCATTCCTTGCATTCCACTCATTCCTAAGGGGGTCAGATTGACCTGTGAGGGAAGGCTAAATTGCTTAATAAAATAACTAAATTAACTAACTAAATTAAATAACTAAATAAATTTCATCCACAAAACTTTTTTGGTTTTGTGTATTCGTGGTTTAAGTTCGACAAAAAAGTCCTAGGGTCCTAGAAACCCTTCTGATGAACACTCCAAAATGACCCAAGGGCAAGATGAATTAAAAAGAGTGAAGGAATCACATGGAGCCCAGTATAGAGCCTTGGGGTTCTCCACACTGAAACAGTCCCAATTCAGAGGCTAAACTCTTCAAAACTTTTCTGAAATGATATGTTTAAATATGCATTTAATAATCTAATTAAAAATGTGCTAACTTGCGTCATGTCCAGAACAGAAATCTGAACATCGAATGAATGAGGTTCTACAAATCCCGTTTGATTTTGTTGCCATATTAGACTTTGAGGTTTTTACAGCGGATTTTGGATTTATCTTTTTATCACTTCATAATCAGAAAATCCTGTCAACAAAGCACAAGCAAGCACCTAGCTACGACCCAGAACGCCTCTGAAACTGCACAGCAACACAACATGCTAAAACCCCCTAATAATGCTTAAATAACACTGCCGTTCCCATTCCCAGCGAGTTTTGCATACATATGCTAAAGAAAATGTAGTTTTTGGTAGTAAACTACACCTTCTCATGTTCCACTAATGCTATTGTAGTGATAGGATGGAGCGAATCCAGCTTTAATCTTCAGAGGACACATAAAACGCCCCAGATCCCTGAGGAATGTGTGAATGATTAACTGGATGGGCCTGTTATCAGACGCCTGTCCTCCCGGTGTCTCGGACCCTGTGTGTGTGTGTAGATATGATCCTCTGGTCAGCTGCCAGTCGTGTGGAGGAGAATGAGTGAGTAATCTCCTGAAATTGCTTTTGTCTGATGTAGTGCGTCTGCAGGAGGTGTTGCTCCGTTCCTTCAAGTTTAAAGTCAAACTCCTGACACTCTCTCTCTCACACACACACACACACACACACACACACACACTTGTGTTTTATCCGTCTGATTTGTGCGTTCCTGTCTGCCGAGTCCTGCTCTCCCTTTCCCGACCTTGAGTTAAAGCTATGACATCACAGGGAAGGATCGCCACACTCCCTGAGCACCTGCCATATTTATCCTGTTTTCTGTCTTCAAGATCTCCTTGTGAACGATCCACTGGAGGTCACGGTTCGTTCAGGGAAGAGTCCGTGTTTGGCTCACTTGTTAAAGTCAAGCCACATTCACTGATTTGTTTAAAATGAGTTTCTTCCTCAAAAAATTGCAATGATAAATCAAACGGCAGCTCAGATGATGAAACACAATTTAATTTTCTCAGTTGATTAAGTATAAACTGAAACGAAAATAAAAATGAAGTACAAAGTGACAGCTGCATAAAAATGATTGAAACATCAAATATGAATTGTATAGTTTGTAAATCACAAATTTTATTTCATTGTATTTTTGTTAAACTTCATGCTTCCCCAAATTAGGAAGTGCATTAAAAGTTTTGGTTCTTCATTTATGCAGCCGTTTTGAAAATTTATTATTTAAATCAGATTTCTCATTTGAGTAGGTGTTGAAAATCTTCTTACCTCTTATGTTATCTTTAGAGCAATTTAATTTGTTAGGAAAAACTAAATTCTATACAGTTGGGCAGTAATTTAATTAATTTGACTCATAAAGTGAATGCATATAAGGTAAATTCCAATGGGCCCAAAACAGAGCCTTGTGGTACTCACCACAGCTGATGCATGTAGATTAATATTAAAATTAATTGGATTTCCCAATCATTACAATTTGCCTATGCCAATATATGAAGCCATTTAAATACGAGTTTTATTCAGCTTATCTAATCACGACAATCCTATTGGCTGGCGACAGCCTATGACGTCACTACTAGTGCGACCCAGGAGTATGTAAGGGGCGCGTAGAGAACATGTCAGCAACTTATTCATCCTCAGGGACTGTTTTGTTTGAACGCTTCGACTTAAAAAAGGTAATTATGGCTTGTGAAAACACTTCAGGAAGTGTGCGTATCTGTGTTTGGGCTCCACGATCAGTTCCTGAGGGATAGGGTTTGAGTAGGCCTCCTCGATGGTTTGGTAGCGTAAGACTGTACTCCCCTTGCTTTAAAGGGTGGATAGCACTTCTGCTAGATACACTACCAGCCTCCACGGGCCCTGAAGCACTGTGTACATCCAGGATTGAGTAGAGTTTCTCCTCTACTCTCTTTAAGACCCTTACTCTCCAAGATGCCCGTCTCTATGATCCGGTCTGTGAGTGATTACTGACACTATCTGCAGTCCTCCCTATCGGATGCCTCCACAAGTGAGGCAAATAATGTTAGAGACTCTGTTTAGGAAGCAGACGGGTTGTCGGCAAGACTAGGTCAGTAAATTAGAGCAGGTCAGCCTCCCTGGTGGCATGTGGGGTTGACTTTATGTCCCCCTCAGAAAGTGACTGGACTCCTTTGGACACCCTGGCCATATTCCCTTATAGAGGAACCCCTTCCACAGAAGATGTTGGTTTCAAGCCTTTGATCGGCCTTGGTAGGCCTTCACCGTATCGGAGGGAATACTGTCACAGTCAGCCTGTATGTGACCCGAAGGTGGAGTGGTTTGGCTTGTTTTTGGCATGCACTCCCCTCAGCATGCTGGGATTGTATATCGTTCCCCAAAGCGAGTTCCCTTTCTGAAGTCTAGGTCCTGAGAACAGGGAACAGGACACTGCGTCTTTTCGCAATGCCTCGGGATGCCTCTTCAGACGAGGAGTTCTCTCGGCACCCCTTATATGCTTTCGGGTCGCACCGACACCGGTTCACATGGAGGCGTTCCCCATAGCAGTGTCGTAACCTAGATGTTTTCTGTGCTGCTAGAGCCGTGACCAGCGGTTAATGTGGAAACTTAGCTGTTGATAGGAGCCTGAAACTCGTGGTGCAGAACGGCTGAGTGGTGTGGAGCACAGCGATATTAACATGGTCTTACCTGCTTTCAGCACTCACTACAGCTTCCTCAATACTTCTGGGAGCAATGTCATCACAAGACTAGCAGAGTGTGTGCGCGTCACGTCACCGTCGGCCGGGGAGAAACACCGAGAACAACAGCATTGGTTTTCAGCGGGAATGCTGTGGAGAACACAAAACACATCTAAACCGGAAAAGAGCTTTGAGATCGACTGAACAACTAGATTTGACCAGAAATCGGAGGTATAATTTACACACAGCCGAGAGCTACAGGACAGAGCAACAAATGAATCGCTGCAATTCATGGAAACATCTGGATCCAGGCAGCGAACGGTGGACTCACAGCTATTATCCTGTGTCAATCTGCTGAATTACGGGGGAAAATCACACCCTATATATCGTATTATTATATCGTTTATTTACAACTCATCAATCAAATATTTACCATCATATATTCTCTATCATTGGACGATTTTAAATAAAATGATATGTCTTAAGGCTGGACGATATGATGATATAAATAACAGTGGTAGAAGTGATCATCCGGATTTAGACTTATATTGTGTTTAAAGCGTTCACAGGCAAATGTGCTTTATCTATTTGTGGAAATCAGGCTCATATAAACGCGAGGAAACATGATTCTGGACCTTTGGTGAGATCACTTTATCCAGTCTAAACTGATAACTGTTTGTTTTACTGTTGTTCTCTCAGTTTCTTCTGTGTTCCTGCGGGAGACTCAGTGCATGACCTCTGTTGACCTCTAGTTGCCCTAAACAGGTCTCCATTCTCAAATCTAAACCCCAGTGATAGTGAAATCAGTCACTTTCAGTTGAGCTGAAGTGTCGAGCACACACACACACACACACACACACACACCTGTGTTATAAGAGTCTGAAATATCACTCCTACATGAACAGTCTGGGTAAATATCAGAGCAGGATTATGATAATCTTTCCTGAGGAATGTCAGCAGTCTCACGAGATTTGTCTGTTCGGGGTATGTGGTGTGAAAAGAGGATTGTGGGTAAGGGACTGGACAGAGAGACCCTTCAAAGCTCTTAATTCTGGCTGATCCTTAGTGAACACACACACACACACACACACTGAACGCCAGATCCGTCTGATGGAGTCCAGCAGGTGTGCTACAATCATTTATGTTTATAACCCGCTGTTGTGTTCAGTACCTGTGTGTGTGTGTGTGTGTGTGTGTGTGTTCTCTATCCAGAGCAAAGGAAACTTCACCCGGCTCACTGTGTAGAGCGCAACCCCGTAAAGTCACATGACATGATGTCACAAATTATTATTTTTTTAAATGAAACAATTTATTGAAACTTTAGCCAAAATATTGAACAAAAACATTTAAAAAAGTTGAATGCTTTGCATCATATTTGATACATCAGGCTTTTATGTCTCGTGTAGTCTGAGAATTTGGAGGAAAAAACACCTCAGATTTACTTCAGAGGCCCAAACTGAGCAAACTATATTCATATAGACACGAATTAAGATGCTTGTAATGTAAATCAATGAGATCTTTATAGATGCTTTAATAAAATACATACACATCAATATCTGCCAATAGTAAGATGATAACGCAATACAATGATGATTGACAGATGAACAAATAACCCCTCCTCAAAACAATGATCATATTTGACACTCATGATTTTTCTAATCAATTATAAAATAATCAAGTGAACCTGCTTCAGTCCAGTAGGAACCATCACTAACAATATCAAAGTTATTATTACATTTTCTTGATACAAATCAGTGTAAAGAAGACCATGAAGGAGGACGTTTGTCCAGTTACAGTAGAAGACTTTTACTGGATATAAGAGTGTAAACCATCAGGAGATCCAGAGCCACACGGTTTCAGGATCATGATGATCAGAAGAAGTTCATGCATCAGACAAGGTTAAACTAAGAGTGTGTGAGTATTAATGCTGAGTGTGTGTGTGTGTGTGTGTGTTGTGCAGTGAGTTGCGAGTCCATCCCTGAGCCGGTGGTTGAGCAGGAGGAAGAAGTGCTTCAGGACTCGACTCAGTTCATCAAGAAGAAACAGCCGTCCAAGAGAGTCAAGAGCAAGTCAGGTAAGACTGACACACACACACACACACACACACACACACACACACACACACACACACACACACTGTTATTGGTGTGTTTCAGCTGGTCATCAGCACAGGCCTTCATATGATTAACCCACACAGACACTGGGAATGGGCTGAAGATCTGTCAGGAGATGTGTGTCACACACACACACACACACACACACACACAAGATCAATACACACCTTCTAAATCACTAAATTGCTAAAATCCAGTTTAATTACGGTAATACACACTAGAAAGAAAGAAACATCAGTCAGTCCTCTGTTAAGTTGAGCAGATCTCCTTAGTGTTGGAATGTGTGAAATCGTCAGTAATTACTGAGCAGTGTGTGTGTGTGTGTGTGTGTGTGTGTGTGTGTGTGTGTGTGACCGCTTTGAACTGTTCAGATTCCTCTGTGCTTTACTGCGGATAACCCTGTCAGAGTCGTGATGAACTGGAGGAACATTACAGAAGCGGACACACACTCCAGTTACACACACTCACTGGGAAACTCACTCGGACTACATCATCACACACTCCTAACACACACGGCTGAGATGAACACTAGAGGCAGTAAAACACCAATGACTTCCTTTCACACTAATCATGTTGATCAATGAGTGAAGGCACGGTTCCTCTCAGAGTGCCGTCTACTGACCTCAGAACAGTCTGACCAATTACAGTTTATTATAAAGCACATAATAATACAGCAATGTTGATCACAGTGCTACACAAACAACACATTCAAATATAACAAACACAAATGACTATAAATTAAGATAAATGAATGATTTGTGGTCATTAGTGTTTTATGATGGCCTCATGATTACATTAATCTGTCATGTGATTGGCTTTGACATTGGCTGTCATGAGGCATTATAACTGTGTCATGAATATGTTTCGTGACCTCAACTACAGTGGTACACATTGAATTTGTCATTAAAAAGTTATAATGCCTCATGACAGCCAATGTCAAAGCCAACCACAGTTTAATGTAATGTTCACCCATAAAGCTAAGTGCTTTCTTAAGTTTTGAGCATTAATCTGCTTTATCATGTTTATGACAGGTTATGATGTATTGGTTTATGTCAAGGTGTCATAACAAAGACATCTCAAACAATGTCATATTTGCATTAAAAATGTCATAATTGAGTGAATGACAGTCATAACCATGCATAAACCTCCTTCATATTCATGTGTCCTGTGTCCTGTCGTGGTTATGAAGGTGTCGTGTCCGTCTTAAAGTCTCAAGTAAAGTGTTACCGATAATTTTACATCAGAAAACCTTTGAAAACACGCCTACAAAGTGCATGATTTGTAAACTAATATATTTGGGTGTTTGCATCACATGACCAGCCGCATACGTGTGTGTGTTGCGGTGAACTGGTTCAGGCGCTGGTGATGATGTGAAGCGCTCGCGCACACACACACACACACAGAGCGGTTTATTTCGCGTCTGCTTTCCTCAACACTGTCAGTTAGCTTAGCCAGAGTTTAGCATGATTAGCCTCACTCGCCCGACATTTCATTTACAAACCACATGACAAAAGTGCCAGATCTGATGTTCATCTGAAACTGAACGCGCTTTTATAACACTGGACATTTCACTAAAGAGCGAATCATAATATCATTTAGCTAAATTGTCATGTTTTTCCTGGGTGATCCTGGGCTGTTAATGTTAGTCGCCACAGTTGCGTCACTGATTTCCCAGAGATCTGTGCGGCGTAGAGCCGATCCCTGGCGGCTGATTGGCTAGTTGTGTTTAAAGCGGTGGATCTGCTCAGACACGTTCCTCAGTCGCCAGCTCACTTCTGTCATTAGCTGAGTGATTAAACATGCTCCATTCCTCCCGACACACACACACACACACACGTGATGAAGAGATCTGATACAGCTGAAAGGATTCAAACGTGGTCTCTGATGTCGACTGAAACAGAAGCCACTCTTTCATGTGTGTGTTTCATCTCTCCACAGTTGTGTATCACACACACCACACCACACACACGTTCATGAACACGGCTATCGGCTGTTAAACACACACATTCAGATCCGTGTAGTTGATCGACCTCAGTGTTTCTGAAGATATATGATTGCAATATAACCGCACACCTCACTGCTGTATGCACAAACTGAAGAAGAAGTGTTGAACTTTAAAAATAAAATAACTAAATTACTAAAGTGAATCTATGATTTATGCAGTCGACATGATTATCTAGATGAATAGTATAACTCAAGTCTTCACCTAAATGTAGATTCATTACATAAAATAAAGCACTGTTATTTGAGATGTCATTTTCATAATTTCAAGTGTGGAAAATGAACCTTGTGGACTGTCTTCATTTGATATATTATATATTTATATATTCATATTATATATTATTTCCACTGAAGAAACAACACACACATTGTGTGTCACTAATTTTTAGCCAGCAATCTAAAATCTTCATTTTTACATTGTCAAGATTACCAGTTGATAAACGTGTAAAATACAGCAGAAACTAATGGAAACACAGGAGATGCACTTCAACACATCAATTAATCAAATTACAAAATAAAACACTTCTAGAGATTAGGTATTAATACAGAAGCTGCTGAAATCACGTTTCATTCATCATTGAGGTGATAAAATGCAGTGTCTTAAACTGTAGTCAATAGAATAATGACCAATAATCAGTGTTTAATCATCAACACCATCACACACACACACGGAGCTGTGATTACACTGGGATGAGCCACTGTCATTCATGGGTTTCTGTAGGAGTGTGTGGCTCTTGGCCTTAACGTGTGTGTGTGTGTGTGTGTGTGTGTGACGGATGAGACTCAGTTTGTGTCCACAGCGACAAGCGCAAGAAATCACAGCCAATCAGAAGAGCATGTGGGCGGAGTCATCGCGTGATTGGTGGTCATGTGACTGTAGTCGATGAGTCGGCCGAGTGAGGGAGAACTCCTCACATCTCCACTAATAGACACGGATAATGACTGAATGTTTATATATTTTATACGTTACTCCTTTTTGATTTTAAATGGACTATCAACCCACTGTGAAACGAGCGAATCATCGCAGCCCAGGGTCAGATTAGCTGAAACACAGCGCTGTCACAGGCACCAAGGCGTGTGTGTAATCTTATGAACGTGGCGACAGCATTTCCCTCTTGCTTTCTGAGCGCTGGTGAAAGCGGCGTCTATCAGCGGATCTCTTAAAACGCTCCTGTGTGTGTGTGTGTGTGTGTAAGCACTCAGTGATGTAGCCAGTGTGTGTTGAGGCTGAAGAGGAGCGCTGGAGATGAGAGCACAAGCGTTGGACATTAATGTTGCCTAACCTGCAGGACGAACCATTTTCAATAATTGGAATTGTTGTCGTTAGCGTGTTTCCATGGTTTCATTGGTTGTCATAGCGACTCGTTGTTGGATTGCTTTGGTCCGCCTGATCCTTGTTTTGTCAGGTGTGTATAATTGGCCTCTGTTCTGTCTGATGTTGTTTGTGGCCGCGTCCTCATTCTCGCTGAATCAAACGCAAGCACACGCCCGCACTTTCATTAATGTCCTCGTCTGCTTCGTTCCTCTCCAATGATGTCTGCTGATTGCAGAACCTCGTTCAAATAAGGTAAATACAACTACTAACCACATAATCAACATTATTAAAAAAAGTCCGCTGGTGCTTCAGTGACTACCTCGCACAGAGAACCTGTCAATCATGATGTCAGAGCGCCGTTATTTTGTCATCACATAACTAACTAAAAACAAACGTATTTTAAAAACGAACACTTGAAATTACATCAACGTGATCGAAACTACAGTAAATGACGGAAACTATCTTTGGAAAAAGGATATGTGAAGTGTGATTTAATTGTTTAGTTGGTCTCGCGTCCCTTTGAATAACATGGGGCGGCGGGGGTTATGAGCTATACTAGGACCGGCCACAGGGGGGCGATCGAGACGTTTTGGCTTCACTTTTGAGGGCTTGTGCGGCACGCTTGGATTGGATGCTCTATGTCCATCGTGTAATCTTAACATAAATGTGCTTACACGTTCACCAGTAGGTGGCGAGAACACGTTCATCTGTACGTGATTATATTTGATATGATATGAGAAGATGAATACACGGAGAATGAATGACACGTTACTGTTGTACTGCGTCTACTTACTAGCTTACTAGTGTACACCTATTACTATACTACAGTACAGCCTAACAGACTGCTAACAGGATTGTTGACAAGATTGTTGCCCGTCCGCTATCCATGGTAGTCACGTGACTGCAAGCCTTTCTTTTTCCATTCAGAATATAAAGCAATTAAAATACTGTTTGGCCAGTGGAAAAGATTGAGAAAAACTTTCTGAAATGTATTTCATAATATTCGACTTATTTATCCAAAAACAAGGCAAGGATCGGCTACTAAATGATTTTTAGCAATGTAATAATGTGACGCACATCCATATCTAATATTCTCCTAATGTCTCGTACCGTTAAACATGGATCACGTGAATATGAATATGTAAATGATATGCAGATGAGGATATAGTAAACGAGGCGTTGTCAGCTCATATACGTGGAGACGCATGTGAACACAATCTTCCTCTGGCTGGGTTTATAAAGGGGATTCTGCGCAGAATATTTTTGTCTTTCGGGCGCACACACACACTTATGGTGAGGATCACACACACAGTTTTAGAAATGAGAGCCCCGGTCCTGAATGCTTCCATAGCTTTGCCAAGCGCTCCTCACCCCCACATCACAATGAGTGTGTGAATCTGCTTCAGACGAGCCTCAACAAAACTGGCATTGTGTGTTTTTAGCAAGAGACCTTCACGTGTGTTAAAGGAAGCGATGAACTGTAAAATGTGTTTTTCCAGAGTCCAGCTGTGCAGTGTGTGTGAACCGCACTCGTGAGCTATCAGAGGATCAAGTGTGTGTTCCTCATCACGGAAGGTGTGTGTGTGTGTGTGCTGCTTTTCCTTCCTTTAGCAGTGGGGGAAATGTTGATCATGTGTGTGTGAG